GGGGCGGAGGGGGGGGGGAGGTAATAGTTTTATGAGTTCCGTGGGAGGTTGGTAGCAATTGAAACTTATATGCTAAGGTTCGATGGGTTTTGTTTGGCTCATTTTACTCCGACTCTCGCAAGTTCCTGAAATCTCAAACTGGAAATTTGCTCTGGACTTTACGAGCCATTTACGATCGATGTATGATTGATAATTGCGCGTAGTTGTGCTACTTGGATCGTGTGATTTTTATGAGCTGAGACATAGAGACGACGTCTATGTAAATTTACGCTCTTCTACGTCTATACATATATATATATATATATATATATATATATATATACACATACATATATGTTGGTGTTAATTTTCAATGGAGTTTCGGTAGAGTGCGACGTGGTAGTCAAGAAATTTGAAAGAATTTCAACTTTTATTCAATATCGGCAATAAATGAAATCATTTGTATTTAATTGGCGCATTATCTTGTCCTCTGTTCTCACATATTAGAAGATGCTCGTTTGTCATTGGGAGCCATTATTTGAATATTATCAATATGTTTGATTACTTATATCGACCGTAAGGGAAGTCACGTATGGGCAAGCCTTGAAATTTTACACTATTACTATATGATATAATTTTAATGCACTATCTTACCAATAGAGGTACGGTACTTGTACAGAGATTTTACAGTCTGTTTACAGAGGGTTTGAAGATTGTGTGTACTTTCATCGATCAAAGTATGATTATACGCAATTTACATTGCTAATGCGTAATTTCAGGAAGATAATAAAATACCGCAAATGTCGACTGAATAATTTATATATTCGTCACTGCTATGAGTCTCAATTTATATGTCATTGCGATCGTGAAAGCATTGGAAAAGAATAATTCTATGGCGACTTATGAAAACCAAAGAGACTTTCTTCGGGTATTCTCATTTTCTCGTTGACAAGGTTCGATTGGGAGTTGAGATTGCTCAAGCGTATGGTCGACTAGAGCCACTTTAGACATTGCGCATAAAAGCGCAGCCTTAAACAAATATTTTATTAATTATTTAACGAAACTTGTTCAATTAAGAATAAGAGGACACGCGGGCTCGGTCGGACGACTAAATTTATAATTGAAATTTTCAACTTTTGCCTTCTGAAAAAAAAAGATGGGAATTGCAAAACGAGATATCATAAAGATTATTTGGCTGATAATGGAACGCTCATTATCATTTTATTTTCAATAGCCATCCGTGTGATAATAAGTTATTTAACAAACTGAGCGGTGTTAGTTGTTACGTTGGCATTTCAAATATAAATTTGAAAACCATAAGACTTTGTCAATGGAATAATTAAGGGTTCGAAGGGAAGATAAATGTTTGATGAGGGATGGAGATGGGGAGGGGATATGGGGTAGCGGGTAGGGGTTAGGGGAGGGGGGTGAGATGGGGAGGGGGGGTGGAGGGTGGAAAGAAAGAGACAAAGATTCTTGATGAAAAAAAGATAGATAGAATATTGTGTGCAATTGATAAATTAATAGTGCCGGTGTCCTTGCATTCGGGGGGGGGGGGGTGGAGGGTGGAAAGAAAGAGACAAAGATTCTTGATGAAAAAAAGATAGATAGAATATTGTGTGCAATTGATAAATTAATAGTGCCGGTGTCCTTGCATTCGCTTTCATAATGGTAGAGATAAAGAAAAATCCGATCTTCGGTGGGTGAAGGAAAGCGAACGAATAATAGACAAAGCATCGTTTTGTCGCAGCTTCTCTCGCAAGCGTCGGTAATCACTAAGGAGAGAGAGAAAGAGTTGGTCATCTCCGCATCTGGCATATTCGCGAAAGCGGAAGCGCACTCGTCCGATCAAGATCGACAAGGAGAAACTAATTCTTGGAGACTTCGATGCGAGCGTGACGCGCATTTTCTCTTAATAACTGCGCACGCGACGACGATTCGCCCAATTATAATTTGCCGTTGTAACTGTATCTCCCTTCGCTCTTTATTCCTAGTCCTTTCGCGGAGACAAACAGCGACGCAAGCAAAGGATATAATCATTACTACGGCTTTTTTATCTTTTATCCACTTATTTCATTCGTTTCATAGTGGATAAATATTCTTACACTTTCACTTTATGTTAGCCGGAACTTTCATCGTTATTCAAGGAAAGGGAAACAAACCTGTCCCCGCGACAGCGACGTCTCGTCCTGGGTGCGTCAATTTTGTAAAATTCAACTTACGGGCTAAATGAGTTTTTATCCAACGGTGGGACTCTTGGTCGAAAAGAGCGATAAAAATAATAAAACGCGCGATAATGAAAGGGACTCTCTGTGCCTCGATAAGTCGACGCTCGTTTTCTAATCTAAATTAATTTTCTCCTTGCCGACTGGTCATCGATCTCGGCGCGCTTCGCAAAATGCGAGTTTATCATTTAAGCAACGTTGGTTGTTTCGCTGGCGCCCACGCGTTGTTACGAATGCGACGTACGAATGCGACGCAACGAGGCAGCCTGGAAATAATAATTAGGAAGGAGAGGATTGATAGACGTTGAGGCTCGATGCTGCGCGTACGAAAGGAAGATTTGGGCATTTAGTTGAAGCGCCGCCCTGGCGAGGCCCCGATACAGTGACTCGAGCAGCGAGAAAATGAATCCTTCCCAGGAGCATAGGCGACGGCCGATAGCTATCCACGCGATCTTGAGCGATAAAGGAGCTTTGGGTCGAAGTAGGCCAGGGCGATCCGTGACGTGGCGAGGAATTACAAGGATAGACTATCGGTGAACCGCGCTCGTTCGTTCGTTACGAGCCGCATTTACCTTATTTCTCTATTTATTTATTGTTTAAATGGCTTGAAATTTTTTATTTCGGGCTCGTGTGACCCTCGGCAATCCTCGGCTCTTGTTTGCATTAAAAACGATCGAATTGTCCACCGCCTCCTTTTAAAACTCTACGCTATTTTCAACATCGAGTGCGCTTAATCCGCATGAGTATTAGTATTAAGTGCTAAGTATTAGTATTAGTAGGCAAAAAACTCTGATATTTTCTGCACTTTTTTTCTTCTTTCTTCATTTTCTGTGCTTGCTTTTTTCTAATTCTAATGCCGGAGATTGTACCGATTAATCAAAGGTTTGGCTATGTCTTATGTATAATTTCGTGAAAGTAAATTTATGCCTAACGTCTGCTCGGCTTTCTCACCTGTTACTTAAAGGTAATCCTAAAGCTGCTCGTTGAACATGATAATTCTTAATCGAATTACAATTTGGGATGCATTGACTTTACTTAATTACTATTATTATTGTTACTATTATAGCTCTGCTCATACGTGACCGTAAATTTTTATCGGCGTATCTGTGATTTTGAGCGTGTAATGATTTTTCCACGTTCTTAAGCAGATCTCGAAAGGGGACAGATTTTTAAAGTTTCCGAGATACAATAACAAATTGTACGCATTCTGTTCGTTTGTTATGAATTAATGTAAAATTAATTTGATGGGCATCCATTATACGGGATAAATTATTTGTAACAAACGAAGACGAATAAGAGCGTATTATTAATTTTTCATTTAAAACTCAGATAATTTATTACTAATTATTCATTTTTATCCAAGTCATTACTTTTATTTATTTATATTACGTTTTACTCCTGTATATATATATATATATATATATATATGTAAAAGTCAATTTAATAATTGAAAAAGTTGAATTTTTATCGAATATTACGATTGAAGGAAGTAATTGATTTTTAATAATTACATTTTTTTTTTAATAATAATACCTGGCTTATTTGTCTTTTCTCACATTTTACAACTCAATATAATTCCATTGTAATAATTCGAAAGAAGTAAAAGAGAAATTAATGGACCGATTTCACTTGTTCACTTTTCGAGTTAACTGTACACTTCGTGTATTATAAAATCCTATCTTGCAGAAAATATCATCGGTACGTAATAATAATCAATAATAATCAATAATAATAATAATAATAATAATAATCAATAATCAATAATCAATAATCAATAATAATAATAATAATGGTAGCAGTAGTCGTATGTATTTCAATAATATTAATGTCGATGAATAAAAAGACGAATAATTCTGGTACGTTACATATTTTCTACAATTATACATACACTTATTATAATTTCAAATGGTCTTCCTGCTATAATTAAATATTAAATAATGACTTTGCCCACTGAATTTTACAAAAACTTCATCAACTCGATATGCATTATAAGCTGTACATTATAAAAATTATATTTTCCGTCTTTGATTATAGAGATTTCCAGGTATGAATATCTTTTTACGCAAAAAAAAAGCAAAGTAGAAGAAGAAGAAGAAGAAGAAGAAGAAGAAGAAGAAGAAGAAGCGAATGAAGTAGAAGAAAAATGTGAGCTGTGAGTAATGATAAAACATTGTCATTTTACAGAATTTTATTGTGAGCCAAGTTGGTATAATGGTCAAGGTGAACCATATACAAGGTGCTCTTGTACTTTTTAATATCATTTGGCAGAGAGAATATAGGATAAAGAAATGCAGTAGCATGGCTATTGCATCGTTTAGCTTAAAATGAGCGAGAGGAAAGCTATGTAAGTTGGAACCGAGTTTCTCTAGATGAGTCTTCGATAACTCTCCCCATACTCTTGAAACTCCATGATTTTTCAAACTGGAACATCCTTACTCGCATTTTCTTCTCATCCCATTTCATAAATATCAAATATAATTCAAATATTACAGACGATATTTCCTAATGCGCACAGAACATAACGAAGTATGCTAAGGTGTTTTACATACGTATGTTCAATGCATGGGAATTTTAATAAAACGTTGAGATGTTAACAATGAGACATATAAATAACGTATTGGACATAAGCCGAGCTTCATCGAAATATCGATAAGTGCGCAAAAGCAAGAGGGAAACGGGTAAGTGGTGGTTGGGAAGGGGTGGATGGTGGAAGGAGGAGGAGCATAATTTTTTATCGGCTTATTGTGCAAGAAAGAAGAAAAAAAATGCAAATAGTCAAGTGATTTGATGGTGGATCAATACACGATAATTACGGGAATACGAAAGATTGCCAATGAAAATTGTGAAAGCCCCGGAAAGCGCAGCGAGTTTTATTCTCGACAACCTTTCACGCTAACTGAAAGACTTGGATCACCGTACAATAATTAACGCAACGCAACTTGCTCCACACAGGCAAGGACTCTCGGACACGCGAAAGGGCATTAATGAAATTAATAAACGAGTGCGCTGAAAAGTTACCGGAAACATCCTCGCTAAACAAACAAAACGAAAACAAAAAATTGACGACACGAGAAGTGGCGGCTTAAACGAAGCGCGAAGGAGGCCCGTCGTATCGCGATATGACCATCCGATCCCGGCAAAGCTTCGACAATGGGTATCCGGTCGACACGGTCTTCCGGCTACCACCCATTTATTTCCTCATCCTGGGCCCCGCGAACGACAGTCGGCCCTTTAATCGTCTCGCGGAAGTCGCTGCCTAGCAGCAACGCGCTCTACATCGATTGGGGGACGCGATCGGGGCGATCCCGTAACCATCCCCCTGCCCCTCAATCCTCAATCCACCATCCCCGTCCCCGTCCCCGTCCCCGTCCTCTCAGGCCAGGCCACGCCACGGCATCGTGAATATTCAAAGCACTCGGGCTATCGGGGAGCACCGAGCCCCGACCGGCGCTGTTCGCCTCGGCAAGCATTGCAAAGTCTGAGCTCACCCCTGAGTACGTCCGCGGGTATGAGCCTGCGGTAGGTCTTGGGCCGTTCGTCCTCCGGTTTCTCCTCGGCCGCGTGGACCGAGGCGACGGCGAGGAGAGCTGCGATGGCGAAAGCGTACTTCATGGCTGCTTGGGACGAGGCTGCGTCGTGGAAGTCTGCGGTCGTGGAGGCGATCGTCGGAGGCGCCGGCGAATTCAGGACTGGCCGGGCCCCGGCCCCGTTCCCGGCTTTTATGGGCGCGACGCGAGCCTCGGGGCCCCTCCCCCCGGCCACGCTTCCTCGCTCGGTAGCGGAGCTACGACGGGGTCCCCCTCGTCGCTCCGTACGTCCCCCCCCCCCCCCTCCCTCCCTCCCTCCCCACCCCCATACCAGACCCGGGGCCCCACGAGCGCCGATGCACCCGCCCAACCACGCGCGTCCGAGATGATGATTTCGGGTGAGCGGTGATCCATCGGTGATACATCGCTCGCGATGATTGCCCTTGGAGCCCTGATGATTATCCTCGTGACAGAGCGACGGGGGGAGGGTCGTAGAGACGACCATCCTATCGGCTAATTTGATATTTTTGACGAGCGGGAATTAGAGGGAATAGAGTTAGCTCTCGGACCGACATGGGCCACTTGGTCATATGACGTGGGACTATCAAGGAGACGATTATCGATATTTTTATAAATTAAAGAGCGCCGTGAAGTCGCCGAACGTGCAAAATAATTGTAATATTCCTCGTGGCAACGTCTCGTTTATTAGCCATGCAAATCAATTTATACGCAATATATGCGATATGCGTTTGGCGTGGGCGGCAGTGTTGGGATGCTTGTCCAGCACAAGTGAAAAGCCTTTTATTATTATTTTTGTATATTATTTTTATTTTCATAATAATATTTATAATACAATAAGTCGATATAATAATGTTAGGGATAAAAAAAAAATCATTGAATAAATAGAGGCCGAAGGCGCAGTTCGATAAATAATTATGAGTCGATTGATGTTAAGTAAGAATGGAAAAAAGAAATTCCTCCGGGAAACTGCTCTTCGGGTGATAAAAAGTTCGTTCGGATCGACGAAATGTCTCGTGCATTATATTACACTAAACGATATTGAAATTGAAAATTCTTCGACGACCTGTCGAGGATAATTTCATTTAAATTGAACGATGCCTCTCGTGATTTTAAACGGTCATTATTTTTTAGAGGTACGAAGCACTCTTGAAATTTTGTAAGAAGATGTTGTAAGAAGAGTCATTCCAAGGCTTTATAATTCTTCTTATGTGAAGATAGGCTCTCCGATACCTCCACGCCCCTCTGGATTGGCTTCTTATTCAAAATATCTTGTTCTCGCTTCAGCTGAATTTTAAATCACTGCTCTTGCATCAAAGCCATTATTCTTGATGTTTTCGCTAATACTCCGTAATTTTTCATCATAGATAAGCAGCTCTTCGATCAAAACAATCTTCCGTGTGTGCGTGCGCGTGTCGAGACTTTTAGTTCATTATATGCGCGCGCACACAGACAAGAATTAACGCTTTGATATTATAGTTATTTTGGGTAAAGAGAGAGAAAAAAAAGAGAGAGAAATGAAAAAAAAAAAAAAGGAAAAAAAAAGAAGAAGAAAAAAAAGAAAGCCGGTTCGTTATTCGGATTGCTTTTATAACAAATGGCAAGTTACAAAAGAGTAAAGACCAATGAGAGAAGTAGAGAGCGGGAAGATAAATTGTTGATTACTCCACAGCTCGCGACTGCTGTTGGATCAAGCCCTCACATGTATGCGTATGTGTGTAGAAGAGATACCATTTCACGTCTCCAGACTCGTTGCTGCGGAATGTACGCGAGCCGGGAGATAAAAAAGAAATGTCAACAATGCGGGGGTGCGCGATAGAGAGTCAATTATGAAAGTGAAATTAGGAGATTATTGGTGAGACGAAGGCTTACGATATATTATTAGTTTGGAGTTTGGTAATTGAAAAATGCCTGTATTATGTAATAGTTCAATGCCGTGAGACTTTATTTTCTCTTTTAAAAACATATTTTAGAGTGTTCTGTTTCTCTCCCCCCCCCCTCTCTCTCTCTCTCTCTCTCTCTCTCTCTCTCTCTCTCTCTCTCTCTCTATCTCTTAAAACTTAATGTTGAATTATATAATATCCATAATTAGATATTTACCAGCCAATCTTCGTATTTGTACAGGCATAAGCGTCAATACGTATTTACACATGTTTTTTTATATTTTATTTTGGCATTACAGTTTTTGGGAAATTTTTAGAAAATTACTAGGAAACCATGTTAAAATCCTCTTAGCGTAGATAAAACAAATATTGTACCATAAAATTAATAAAATCATAATGCAGGAAACATTTCATAGTTTTAATTACTAAGAAAAATGTTACAACGCCTAGTCGAATTATATATACTTTGCAATTATATATACTATACTAAAATTGCCATAACAATTGCAATTTCACAATATCTTTGTATGAGAGTTCTATGGTGCACAAACTTCTATCTAATTAATAATGTCGAAAAGCAAATTAATTATCATTCAAAAGTCAACAGCCACCCGATCATTACTTGGTGAAGAATGGATAATTACATTTATCGATACATTTTTATTTACGGCATTTAAAATAAATTTCTTATTAATTTTAATGATTTTAATTGATAATATTACATGTAAAGACACATTACATGTATTAACGAATAGACAAGATTTTCATTATCGAAACTTTAGAATTCACAAATTTCTCATAGTTTTGTGTCAAAGTTGAGTTTGAAAAATAATATTTTTCAAACGATTTGCGTGAAGTTGAAAATGCCGATTGTATGCCGAAATTCTTCTCGACGCTCAGTGTGACATGTCATTTGAAATGAAAAATACAAGTTACACATATACGTATACTAACATATAGTGTTTAAAACGATAAAAAAAAAAAAAAAAAAAAAAAAAAAAAAAAGAAAAAAATAGAAAGAAGACAAAAAAAAACAAAAAACAAAAAAGATAAATAATTGTAAAGATCACTTCGAAATAATTCTTTTAGCTTTTGCCAATGCCTTCCAATTAAAAACGAGTGTCTTGCATTTAAGCGGAGATATAAAACTATGACAATTTGAAATTGCATTGAAATTATAAGATAATAAATTATGAAATTACTTGATTTGTGAGATTATAATGGCAGGCGTGTACGATAAAATTTTTCAATACAATCATTATACATCGCTAGTTTCTCCAACTGGAAACATCGACAATTTATCAATAAAATCATTAATCTAACGAACGGCAATATTTCATTGTTTTAAAACATTTAATCCGTAAAATATTATGTAAAAGTGTGATAAAATGTCTAGGAGAATGAAACGGGGAAAAGGCGAATAGGTTGTAACGCGTTACGTGTATACGCATATGATATCTCTGATAACGATATCGTTTTAGCAATAAATCCACCGATCAATTTAGACAGCGAATTGCTAATATATAAATAATGTAGAAGCACATTTTCTTTTAGAGTTCCAAGTTACCTTATTGTGAGATATAGAGATTTCTAAATACTTGCGGTAAGACAATGCCAGCCGTTCGCTGTTATTGACTTGGACAATAATAAACTAAGAAAAAGTCTAATCTATATAAAATGAAAAAAATTATATCATTTGTTGGTTGTAGAAATGTACAATAATTGGCTAAGCATTTTACGGCTAATAATCTCTCCAGAGAACTCTCCTCCCCCACCCCTTCCTCATCCGCCACCACATAGCGTAACAGTTACAACGTTACGTTCTAGTCGTCATTCTAATTTTCGCAAATTGAAGCTACGGAACTCGTCGCACTCGTTGGTCGTTACAGTTCCTTGCTGAGATTTCGCCTGAGATTTGCATTATTGTCTTCTTCTTTCTCTCAAATATATATTTTTTTTTTTTTTTTTTTTTTTTTTTTTTTTTTTTTTTCCATCGCATTTTGAGGTTAGCACCAGCACGATATACACGTTGCCTTCAGCCCGACTTTATAAAATTCATTATAAATGAATAGCGGGATCTACGGAAGACTCGATTACCTTTTATTCGTATAATGTCGTCATACGCCTGTCGGAGCAAGTAAATTTTTTTTGTTTCTCTTTTGTTGCTCTTTTGTTTCATTTTTCCTTTGCTTTGCTTTGATTTGCTTTGCTTTGCTTTGCTTTGCTTTTTTCATCAGTCACCTAGGGCGACACGCGTCATTTTATAAATAATTTCCTTGTTTAATAATTGCTTTAATTTGGCATTGTTGACAAGTGAAGCGCGCGTAAGTTTATGTGCATAGAGAGGAAGAATCGTTATTGTAAATTCGTGTATTAGCCGTGTCTAACGCGTACATGCGGTAAATGCAAAATCCCACCTTTATTGGATTTTTCATATTGCCAGGATGAAAATCTGAAAGTGTGTCATATCATTCACATAACCATGTTAATGCTGGGGCAATATACTTTAATTTTTCACATGCAAAATTTAACGCTACCAATTGATTTTTTATTCTCATCTGCGATCTTGAATGTATTCACTCACCCCTCGCCGCTCTCTACACGCCCCCTCGCCACACCCCACTCACCATCCCGTTATACTATATTATACGACATTATAATCCTAACGAGCATGAAATTTAATTGCCAATTAAACGTTAGATTATAGGAGAGGTCGTATAAATATAAAGTTTAAACTAAATAAAATGCAAGCTTAAATGAAAAGGCATAAGAGTCTAATAATATTTACAATTTCATGTAATTAAAATATTTTATGTTTTTTAGGCTTTAATTAATGAATCTGTATTGGCCATGTTGAATGGTTAATTATTTTAAATTATTAATCGATCGATACAATTTCCCATTCATATGACAATATTGCTAAAAATCTAAAAATTTATTGTCCGCGAATATTCGATTAAATCCCATACTCTTCTTATAATTTATTATATGCTCGTTAAAACGAGTAATCAGAAAGTTGGCCATCTGTCTATTAAATTATTATAATCAATTAATACTGATTAACGTAGTGATACGTAATTTATGTAAAGTTAGCGTAACCGGACATAATAAAATCACATTTATATGATGAAGCGATGAAAAGTTTTATTGTTACAATCTCAATTACGCTCCTATGAGGAACAATAATGTGCATGACGTATTCATTGCTTTTTCCCACAAATTCGAATTCTCGAAGCTCATGCAAATATACGAGT